GAAATCCTATGGTTTTCAACATAAGTCACATTGATAACGATACCTATATGAATCGAAGGTACGACTTAGCCTGGGAAGATTGCGTCTTTCTTTCACAAAAGGCTAATCAAACAATCCCTTGATTTGCTGCCTTACTATGTCCACCTCTTGATTCAAAAATAAATCTCCAAAAAGTGAGAATGAGAATAAAGACTAGGCCTTTAATATCCCTATTGGCTGATAAGCTAGCACAACTAACAGTTTTCGTTACTCACAGATGCCCCATTATCCTCATGATTTAAGCACTTCATCAAGACTGAGAGATAGATGAAAGTAGAAACTTGCACAGAAGTACATCTGTTCAACTTGTAATATTTTATCAACATTCAAAGAAGCGGATACAAAAAGATATATCAAAGTGTTCAAAGCTCCACGAGAAGAGGAACAACTCGAAGACAAAATTGAGTGAAAATATTCAAGCTTTAAAAGAGGTTAAAGAGTGAATACATCTGTACTATTGTGACACGTTCTGAAACATATCAACAAATGTCTCCAACCATCGATTTCAATGGTCTTACAGAACCCAGATATATAGTCTACAACTCCCTATATGGCATAGATCAACAGTCAGAGACTTTATCAACTGTTGCTACATCTGAATCTGGCTACCCACAGCCTTCTTCCAAACGAGTCACATATATGGCACGCCGAGGTAGGCAATGGCTAGGTATGCGTAACCTATGTCCAAGCCACCTCAGTAGGTGAAGGTTCACAACCTCATCCTACCAACTTTACTGTCTCCTCTAGTGCTTTCCAAATAACCTTCCCACTGCTCACATACTGATTTCATTATATGTGAGTGATTCCACAGACACAAAAGTTGACAGAAAACTACATTTTCTTCATATCCTCTACTACCAACGAACATGTCTCAAAGACACAAAACAGGATAGAACGATCTACAGCCTAGAACACTCGTACTCCAACAAGTAGTCAAATATCTCGACACTTAGTCCCAGAGATGGCGCAAGTCCGTATATCACAAACACACCATCTAAATACCAGCACACACCTCGTCAGAAACAGACACATTCGATATGATGCAACTCCACACGTAAGTGCAACACCCAACGCATTCTACTAATTCACTACCTATCCTTAAACTCGAAGCACTCATTAATCAGTCATGAAGTATCTATCATCTTACATCTGACAAGTGCGAAACGCATATACGATAGACATATACAGATTTATACAAAAGACATTTACATCACTCTGCATTTTGTCACCATCTCCAATCAACAGGATACTGTCATCTCTAGTACTACAACTTAATCACCTACTCTACAAGGAAGGATAAGCTTAAACCCTAAGAACTCAGAGGTACCCAACGTCATTCACATCTACACGCCATAACGAAGTTAAACAGGAAAGATAATACTGGACAATCCCTGGCGCGCACCACCGGTTGTCGTCTGTTCAGATGACAACACTCCACAATCCCTTAAACACCCATACGAGTTCGAGTAGAGAGCTGTGATTAGTACTATTCACTTGCTCAGTACCCCTCTCAGTCAGACAGTGCAACAATATATCACGACAGAGAGAGTTGAATGCCACCCTTAGGTCAGAAAACAGGGCAAGTGTCGGCCATTGTATGGATAATAGTGTTCCCGAACCTGTGGAAGGATGAAGGTCTGATCGATGCACCCTTCTCCAAGTCTGAAACCTGCCACGTATTCTAGAGTTCGCTCTCCCCGAGCCCATTAATCTGTCGGATAACTACGGACCCTATGATCCTGAACACAATATTAGGCAAACTAGTTTCACAAGAAAACTCCTTTCCAATAAACTGGAATGGTCACAGGAGTATACCAGTCAGACAGGACTAATTCTGGTTCCTACACACCCCTTAGTGCCTACGTTTCTCATCACAGTGAATTAATACGTACAACCTTAAAAACGTCTATTGGCGAACTGTCAGGTATTGTTACTTTGTGCCGTTTCACGTTTGAAACAAACTTCTCAACTTCGAGGATAGCTACCTCCAAGATGTTTTTCTGACTGAATCAGGTCACTTTTCTTACTTGAACAGTGAAGTCATCTGGCATTATTATGACATCTAAATGCTTTGCTTTCCGTAGCAAAATTGATAGCTTCTCATAAATTCATTCTTTATGTCATCTGAACTGAAATTGGTGGGTGCGTAGGCGGAGATTACGAGTAGGCATAGGAAAGTTTCACAACTATTCCCAGCTCTTGTAAATTCATTTAGTCGGACAGCACACAGCCGACTGTTGACTGGTATCTAGTCAAGAAGAGTACTTTCTGTTCTACAATACAATGCCACACATACACCAGCAACTCCACGATAGTTAGGCACTGGATCTCCCTTCGGACATTCATAAAGTGAATTTTGAGGATTCACCGCACTGACGGGTGAGGTCAGTCAAGTGAATAATTACACTGGAGTCCTGTATTCGTGTCTCATAAGCACAGCATATATCCATGGCTCCAGATTCCAGAGTGCTAGCAAGAAATGTTTGATTCCCAATTTGATGTAGTGTTCGGACGTTGGAGAGGCTAGTGTGAGATCCGCAGCGGGGTTTTAGGAGAATATAGATGAAGTTTCGATGACTTCGGTCGTTGCCAATGCTCACAGGATAAGAGGTTGAGATAGTTGTCTGAGGTTTAATAGTGGTGTCGGGGATAGAAGGCAAAGGAGGAGACGAATGTAAGGAGGGTGGGTTATGATCGATTGAGTTTTGCATACTGCTGAAAGTGTACAGGTGGTTGATACTTCGTGGCTGCCCATAAAATAGTTGTTTATGCAAGGCACCAGAAATAGAATAAGCAAAACATTTGTGTGACCACAGAGCTCATTGGACATCTGATTGAAGCCTGTCACACACAGCCCTTATAAGATTGTTGGTATACAATTTGAATGTTTTAACGCCAAACAAGAAAAATCATACCGCCGACATCGGAATGAAGCACCAGCGTGGTATTTCAGGTCATCCAAAGGAAACACCGCACCGATTTCACACTCCATCCAGCAGTACGACTTTGCCCTCGGACTCCCCCCCCCCCATCATGATTTAGAAATTTATACCATAACTCTAACTGTTTTTTGTATTACCACTATCCAACTGACATTTCTGACGTGGTTGGACCTCAAGGAACAGGCGTCCCAGCAGCATAGCTCGTTGGGTCATTATGTATGCAAGCCCGACCACCACGTCATGATACCAGCTATTGGTCGGGTTATGTAGTTACCAGTCATAGCTAATTTGTGAGGGATTATTACACTACCTGTTTGCCAAGGCCAAAATAAGTGGAGCAATGTTCATACCCGATATCCACTACATGAAAGTCAAAAGCTTAGGTCGACCAGCCACAGCTCCATATTAATAGCTAATAGAGATAAAGGAAAATGGGTATTTGTTTTCTACTGGACTATAAAGTTACCCTTCAACCAGTTCACATGAGCCTCTATACAAATATAACAATTAATAAAGAACTTAGAGCGGTCAGAAATGAACTCATAACTGACCACGAACTCAGTAATGGAACTAAAGTTTTTTATTGAAAAAGTTGTGTTAAGAATACAGTTGTGTCTGACCTCCACGGTTTTCAAACTTCCAAGACAAAATATGTAAATAAACAGAAGGAGTAACGATGGGATCTCCAATATCCCCGATTGTAGCAGACATATTCATGGATATGTGGGAACTAATGGTATTAGGAACATCAAAACATATCCAGAGTTTTTTCGCGCATGTTAACTCGATAATAGATGCAATCCAGTTCTAACTTATGAATAAGAAAATGAAGAAAGAGAATTACCTGTTGGATTGCAAAATCAAGAGGAGAGAAGATGGAAGCTTAGATATCAGTGTTTATAGGAAACCAACACATTCGAATAGATACTTGGGTTTCATATCATCTCACCCCATGTTTTCAAGATAAGTTTGGTAAAATGCTTAATTAATCGGGATAGGAGTTTGACTAATAAGTCAGAAAACTTAAATAAGGAACTGAGACACATCAAAGGTACACTATATCTGAATAAATTCCGGAGGGAATTTATTAAAACGTTTATAAAGACTGATAAGAAAAGAAATGATAATGCTAGTAGTGATTGCAAAATGCCTAAGAGGGAATTCATATCCTCTGTAGTGTTGCTGCATAAAAAAAGGAACATCGGAAATTTTACGTAGAATTCTTAACAATGCTGGATTTAGGGTAGCATCTAAACCCCCAAACTCTCTCAAAGAGAAACTTTGTAGGCTGAAAGATCCAGTAGAGCCAAATAAGAAAAATAATCTTATCTATCAAATACCATGCAATGATTGTAGAGTCAAGTATCTAGGCCAAAGCAAGCGATCGGTATCAGTTAGAATAGCAGAGCACAAAAATTTAGCAAAATACCCGATGATAGATCCTACTAAGATAGGTAATTTAAGGGAAAACTCGGATATCGCTCGCCATGCACTGACGCATAATCACACTATAGGGTGGGTGGAATAGGGTGACAATTCTGAAATCCAATATAGCTAGGTGGAGAGAGAGATTGATAGCACACTCTTTGTTCATCAAGTCAACACCAAACACATGTAACAGCAATGATTCATCACATGTTGCAGATATCTGGAATATTTTACTACCATTAAAATTAAAAGAATGAAGTACTGCTGGACTATATAAAGGAAGTTTGAAAGTCATATGCTTACTTTGATATGAATATGAGAAATAAATTCTGCTCAAAATCCTTTAATCAATAGCCTACAGATTCGAACCCTGCCCCATCCACCGAGATATGATAAACCAAGTAGCACCACAGTCCTCATAAAATAGGTGTGGTTAACAATCTGGTCCAAAGAGATGTACACTATTGATACGTTGTACTACAATATGTTACTAAATCATTACTACTTCAGTGTAATACAAGATAGCTTAGTGCAACAATAAAAGTCATTTTATTCAACAAACTTATACTTCTGAAACTGATGCTTACTTACCGACTAAACTGACATCGTAGACGACTCCTGCAGGTTCACGTAGTAATAATGCCTTAACATCAATTTCTTTGTCTGGTCGAATGAAGAAGACTTTACCACCTGGACCAGAACTTGCAGTACGACCGCCTGTCCGAACTGGGAGGAAATTTGCTGTAGTTGTTCCGAAAGGACTCTGTGAACGAATAATAATCGTAAACAGAAATACTCATCAGTACTGATATCGAAATTGACCAGTATGTCAGATTGAAGCCAAAGTTACTGATGAAATGATTCGATTTCAAATAATGAATGAAATTTCAAGACGGATACATAGATCCGAGTTGTCACACTCTACACGGATACATCAAAGCGGAAGTCAACCGACAACAGTAAGGAAGGAGAAAAAAATGAAGAAATATACGATAGTAATCATATGAAAAAGGAATAAGGGTAAAATGAGGGGGTTTATACATCTGCACCAGTCTATTCGATTCTGTGCTGTTCTGTTCCGTATGCCTTTAATCGAACTGATAAAACTTATCCACATAGCTAAAAATAATAGTCAGAGGTGCTAAAAACTGGTGTGACGTCTTCATTCAACTGTCAGTTGCTTTTTTCGGCTTAATCCTATCATAGCGCCGTAGCGTGGTACACAATGGTTTAAATTGAGCAATATACACTCCAGCCATCACATATGACGTATATTGTAGTTAGTAAGATGACATCAACATGGTTGGTGTAGAAATGCAACATTACGTTCAATTCTACATCAAACTACTAATAACCGTTTTTAACACAATTATATGCAGGCATTCCGTTAATCAATACCAAAAGCTGCTACCTTGACTTGGTGGGCGGCCAAGCATATGAAAATGACCCAACCAGCTATGCTGGTGGAATACTTATTTACTCAAGATCCTACTATTCCAAAAATGTCTATTGGATAGCAGTTAGACAAAAAGCAATTACTGTTGTGTAAACTATTAAGCTATGGTGGGATGGGGGATCCAGGACGAAATCATACTGTTGAGGGGACGGAGATGTAACAGCAGTAACATGCTTTCGTGGATGATCAGCAGTGTCACGCTGATGCTGTCAGAGGGTGTTATGAAAGCTGACAGCGATATGGGTCCACAGTCAAACTACTAAATAGGCTATATATATATATATATATATATATATATATATATATATATATATATATATATATATATATATATATATATGACCGGCCTTTGGGCTTCGCAGTGACGTAATAAGCCTTCCTTTTCAGATACCTCAAGAAGAACCAGACTTCTAAGGTGTGGAAAACCGGGAAGCGCTAACTATTCTCCAAACTCTGTCAGCAGTTAACCTCCATCAAATCACTATCTACCTTTCACTTCCTCAACTTCTAACCTTCTTTCACGTCTTTCGGTCAATAATTCTACATTATTTTCAAGTCGCTCCAGCTTTTCAGCTCTTTTCAGAAATCTGACTTCACGGAACATCATCTTGGGTCTCCTGAAACCACGCTCAGAACTAAACATTGGAGCTGACTATGTCCACACCCTCCGACAGTCGGATAACAACCTTCGCTGACCAGAACTCACCCATCTCGGGGCACGAACGTAAGTTGTGTTTGTGAGGCATGTGCACTATACTAAAGTGCGGTTATTCACTTAACTTACCCGGTCAACAAGGTCAATCCGAAAAATTCACCCCTCTAGTTTCTGGAGATTCGTGGTCTTGTTGGCGTATATATACCAGTAATTACTAGGACACAAAGCCAACTGCTCGATTGAATCCCAGCTGATAGTCCCCTAAATGCTCTTCCACTGAACGGCACAATGAGGATCAAAAAGAAAAGTGAAACCTGCTGTTATCTCTTTCTAATCTCTGCTTACGCACCAACTCACTGCAGTTCGGATGAAGTGCAGGATGGGTTCTACTGGAACTATCTAGCCTTCTATTAAAAGCTAAACGCTAAGATGTGGTTGTTGTAGGAGGTGGTTTCAATATGCAAGTGAGTGGGTTAAGTTAAGTGGAAAGGCGGCTCTTACAGAATCCCAACTGAACAGAATCATAATGGTGATTTTCTGTTACAACGCTGCCCAGACAACCACCCATTTTTGGACAGCGCGAACCTTAGACGTAAAAAGAGACATTCTCTCATGCGGCGTTCAACGACCTTAAATTAGCGGTGGAGATAGATAAATCATATTGCTATCAGTTATCGCTAGACAGGGTTAGTGGAAGAATGTCACTCCTACAGAAGATGTCTCGATAGCGATAGCGTGCTGCTACCACCACGTATATGTTCGAGCCTTAACGAACTTAGGAAAACTACAGCAACAAGGTCGTTGAGAGTCCAGCTTGAAGATGACAATACTGAGGTTCCTTTCAGTAAGAAACTGCATAGATAGCTATCGGAACAGAACATCAGTCACTCAAAAGAAAACCGAGACAATCTCCAATCTGCTGTAAAAACACAGTTGGAGATCCTAGCCGACTCTTGAAAGTGCCAGAGGACCTCAGCAGCCTCTTCTCAATTGATGGATGCAGGCGGAAGAACCACTAGGGGCTCCGAACGTAATGACAAGCGGAAGTAACTCAAATGTAAACTAATAAAAATCCGCGCAACGACCACAAAACGTGTTGGCTGGCAAAAGCTAAAGAGATGGAAAAGGCAACGGCGACAAGTAAGAAAAGATAGTTATTTAGATTTGTCAAGAAAACTGGTGTAAAGAGGTTGACAGTTCATGAGATTATAGCGGAGATGGAGGGGTCTGGGATTCACTTGCAGGGGAGACAACTGGAACATTTCCAGGAACTGCCCTCCAGCTACTACCACAATACCCTCCATCCAGTCAGACCCTAAATGTAACATCAAGACAGGGCACTCATCACCTGAATAAGTAGAGAAAGTTGTATTATTACTATTTATTTATCCCTTTGGGTTCCTGTTGAAACATAAGGATTCAGTAGCACGTCTCAATTTCACTCTCTTCTCTGCAGTCTTTTGAACTTGGCTCCATGACTGCCCACAAGCTTTCATTTCTTCCTCACACCATCTCCTCTGTTACCCTCGGCTTCGATGCCCGACTAGTTTCCCTTTTGGGTCCTACTCGAGGGCCTGGCCTGGCGCGTGGTGTCCCCTAACAGTCTTCTCAGTGTATGCCCCAATCTATCTCCACTTTCTTCCGTACATCCGTTGTGCAATGGGTTCTTGGTTGGTTCGTTGCCAGCCAGCTAGAGTTCCTTGTTGCTTATTCTTATTATTCTCCATCTCCAGTATCGAGTGGGAGTAGGCGGCAGCTGTCGATGAATGTCTATAGTTTGTAGGAAATGCTTTTCGTAACGCACCAAAATTCTGAACCATCACATAGAAGCACTGACTGACTTGACTGCGGCTTCAGTAGCACGTCACCATTGCACTCTCTTCTCTCTCTGCAATCTTTTAAACCTGGCTCCACGACTCCCCACAAGTTTTCATTTCTTCTTCACACGATCTCCTCCATGTCACTCTCAGCTGGGACGCCCAACTCGTCATTTCCCCTTTGGATTCCACTCGAGGCCCTAACATGGCGTGCGATGTCTCGGAATGGTCTTCTCGGTGTATGACCAATCCAATTTATCTCCACTCTCTTCTGTAGATTTGCTATGCGATGGGTTTTTGGTTGGTTCGTTGCCAGCCAGCTAGAGTTCCTTGTTGCTTATTCTCATTATACTGGCCATCTGATCTCCATCTCCAGTATCGAGTGAGCATAGGCGGCAGCTGTTGATGAATGTCCGAAGTTTGTTGAAATTGCTTTTCGTGACGCGTCAGGTTTCTGAACCATACGTTCACTTGAAAGAAGTCCCGCCATCGCTGCACTGCCTCTTCTGTCAACTTGTTGGTCTTTGCCTGTAGATCTTCGAGTTTCTGCGACAAGACATTAGACATAAACCATCATCGGCGGCGAAATCCAAATCTTCTTCTGGGGTCTTTTCACCAGTCCAGACAGCTTATACCCTCTTCTCACAGCTCCTCACAGTTGTCTGTTGCATGATCCAGTCGAGTGCGTTCGAGTCGACGAGAATCAGGAAGATGATCGGTGATAGTAGGCGGCAGACTTGTCTTACTCCTGTCCCCTGTCTTCACATCGAAGGCGTCACTGAGCTTTCCATTGTGAATGACTTGGCATGTAGCCCCATCATATAGCATAGCATATACCTGCTGTTGAATGAGGTTGATAAAGGCTTGTCACACTAAAACCGTAGTATTGAAGCAGCTACCTGCAAGATTATTTCTCGGTCGACGCTATTGAAGGCCTTTTCAAAATCGATGAAGTTGAGGTTGAGTTGAGTTGAGTTGGCTGCCATTCTGTACTCTGTTCTATGATGATGCGTAGCGTAGCGTTGCAGTTTGATCCACACATGATTTGTTCTACCTGAAGCCAGCTAGCCAGCCAGCCAGCCTGCATCTTCCGGTCGTAATTTTGAATGCAGCGCATCTTTTAGTCTCTTCAGGATGATGTGGCTGAATATTTTGCTTGCTTTGGATGGAGAGGGACAGCATCATGTTTCCGCGCCAGTTCTTGCATAGACTTGGTTCACCCTTCTTCGGGAATTTGACAAGGTAGCCCTTCTTCTAATCAATCGGCTGGTACCTTTCCTTTCTTCCTTCCATCCGTCCAAACCTTCTACAATAGTGGTACGAGCATGTCCTCTGCTGTTGTCTCTGTGTCTGTTTTCAGTGCTTCTGCAGGAATTCCATCTGGTCATGTTACTTTCCCGGCTCTCAGTAACTTTATGGCGTTCAGGACTCCACTTCTGCTTTTGTCGGAGGGCTTGTGTCCACTGATATTTCTGTGACTGGGTCACTGATGGTATTTCTGGACGAGTTGCAGTTGGTGGCGGTGGCGGTGGTGGTGCTGGTCGATTAAAGAGTTCTTTGAAGTGGTCAGCCCGTTGGTTCCTTTGTTTCTTCTTTTTGGTGCAACGAAGTTTCCTCCACTATCTTTCATCGCATTCATCTGTGTTGATCCCTACCCTCGCAGATAGTAACCTGGTTATTTGGTTATAATGTTGTCAGGTCTTTGTCTCTGTCTCTCCTACCAGCAGCCTGTTCTGCTTCACTTGCAAGTGTGTCTTTCCGTGCACTCTTCTTCACTTCTCTGTCCAGTGTAGTGTTTTGTATGTTGTGTTCAGTTCCTCTCTCCATTGTTCATC